CGTTGATAGAGATAACGGTGATGATCACACAAACACACACTGAAAAAGATAGCCAGTGCTCAGAAGTGGGCTCAGTGACAGTCGTCGCTGCCACTGACAGAAACAGTAGTGATAGTGGCGCGCTACAGCAGTGATTAGATGATGGTTAGGCAGGAAGAAACGAACACACGAGGAATTGCTTGTAAACAAAAGAAGAAGAAGAAAAAGAAGAAAAGAATAGAAAAGGGCTAAGTCACAAAAGTATTGTCACAAAAGACATCAGACAAACAGGCAGACACTTCCACCGGTCAAGTGTGCCAGCAGTTGTGGCAGCAGTTGACGATGACAATGCCGATTGCTGAGAACGGGAAAATGCAAAAGGTGGATGAGAAAAAATCTGCTCAGAACACACACACGCACAGCACTAGAAAAAGGTGGTGATTTCTATTGCCATTTAGAAAAAGGAAAAAAGAAGAGCAGAACAGAGTTGAAATGACAGCGAAAAATAATGGTGTAGTCTAAATGTAGAGTACTGACTAAAGTGCTACCTTCAGTAGTGAGGACGGTGCATCAGGAACGGTGAATAATGGAAAATAGCAAAGCTAGATAAAACGCCATTATTTTGGAGGGCACTTGAAAAGTTCTATTTCAGAGGAGTCAAGGAGTCAAGTCATCACGACTTGATAGTGCCAAAAAATAAAGCAGTATGGTAAAGGGAAATAAAAAAGGAAAAACTAATTGACTTGGCAGAAGTGTTTTTGCGGTTTTTGCTGCTGCTGCCGTTGCTGCTGCGATTGATTGAGAAATTTGCTTTTAGCAAACGGTACACAATACAGTGGTTGCGGTGAAAACCATTTGCTTTTACCACTTTGGAATTGAACTCACTAATAAGTTTGTTCATTTTTGCATTTCTGTTTGCATTTGCATTAATTAATATCAATANTGGCAGAAGTGTTTTTGCGGTTTTTGCTGCTGCTGCCGTTGCTGCTGCGATTGATTGAGAAATTTGCTTTTAGCAAACGGTACACAATACAGTGGTTGCGGTGAAAACCATTTGCTTGTACCACTTTGGAATAGAACTCACTAATAAGTTTGTTCATTTTTGCATTTCTGTTTGCATTTGCATTAATTAATATCAATAAGCACTAAGCAAATTGATTGAATGGGCGGCAAACAAACGGAAAAAAGCAGTGGCCACTCTCTTAGGGCAGTATTACATGCTGATGTAAAGAAGGCTATTGATCTGTTGAGAAGCCGCAGCGAATAAATAGTGTTCATTAGAACAATGGGAAACAAGTGGACATAGTAAACACAAACGCAGACAGACAACGTTTGCAGTCAAAAAGAGAAAAAAGAGAGTTTCTGCAGCTACAGGCAGCAAAAAGAAGCAAACAGCAGGCAAATTAATTAGCCAATCAATGGCTAATTGGTTTTTGATTGAACATGGCAACTGCCATATACTTCGCGGAAATGACACCGTGTCCACTACTACGACTGGTGATTACACGTTTTGAGAACACCACAGTGCATTTGTACACAGCAAACGTCAAGCGACATGCTGATGTTTTCTGTCTAATAGAGGGGATGAAAAGTAAATGTCCGTGTCGATAATTATCAGAAAAAAGTGAAGAAAGTGAAAAAGGAGAAGGAAAAAGGTCAAGTGTGCACCATAAAGTGCTTAAGTCAGAGGGCTAGTGAAAGCAACTGCTGGAAAAATGAGCATTAGAGTGGTCCATCGTTGGTAAAACAAACGCGTTTACAGCTTAGGCTTAAATGAGCTTATTTGAGCAAATAAGTTCAGCATTGGTAGAAGTAGTAGTAAGTGGTAATACTACTGCTTGAAAGGTAGTAACTCACAGGGCAAACAATTATAGGGCACTTTACTGACGTGTTGGCCAAACTGAGCTTACTTAGAAATGACTGTTGGTTGCAAATTCTACATGGAAAGTGTTGAAAAGCGTAAATAATGATTGGCAAATAATAACTTACAGTCAGCTAAACTGCTTAAAATTACAAATGATTTCATTACAGTCCTTGCTAGTGTTAAATAAGTAAAGTAAATAAAAAGCAATGTTGCGGCATCAGTGACCAAACGTGGAGCGGTGTACAGTGCCAAGATGGACCGGCCTTTTACGGAGTGGCTGATCTCAATGATACACTTACAATTGGCAGAGTGATGACGAATGGTTGCAAGGTAGTATCACTACTATCTGCAAAACATCACAAAGTAGTTTTTGTCCATATGAATGAAAGCTGCAAAAAGGACAACTTTAGGTTGTTTAGGTATGCTGAAAATGGCAACGAATACATGCATGCTAATGAAACGATGATAATGTGGCTGCCGTTTGCAAAAGCACACTCGATCGCCAAAAGAATTTGTAATGATTTTAAAAAGTAGTTCAATGTCACAATTTAACAACGATAGCAGCAGCAAAAGGGAATAGTTTGCAAGTCAATATCAATGCCAACAAATCATCGGTAAAATTACTTACAAAACTTTGTCGTAAAGTTAACCAAATAGACTGGTTGATTCATCTACGACAAATGTTAGCTAAAAGCAAAAAAAGTAACGCTGCTTTTGATGAGTTAAGCCATTAGCAAATTGATGAATTGTTTTGTGGCTGATGCTGATGGGCAAGTTGAATGCAGCAATAATCTCTCAAAGAAGTGTGCTTAAAGCTTAGCGATGCTTCAATGCATTTGATGCATCACTGCGCTGAAGTTTTTAATGAGGTGCCTTGCAATCTTTTAGATGTTATGTGTGCGGTTGTGATTTGAGCAAACACAATCAGCAAATCAAAATCAACCACACATTTGCGGTTTTTGGTACAGATGCAGGGCAGTAGTCGCCGAGGTAGCACCCTGATCGCCGATTAGCAGCAGCAGGTAATGGCGGTCAATTTAGTAGCACAGGGTTAATAAAACACACTCAGGCCGTGTGCTGTGATGAACTGCTCCCACTGGATGGCCACTGGTCAATAGCAGGGTGATGGGCGCCCACTGATAAGCACTTTAAAAACTCAGTAGACAGTGGACTGTGGACAGTAAATGTGCGTATGTGATCAGAGTGGCAAATGGTTAGGCATTGCTGTGTATCTTCCTTATCTTCCTCTGCAACATCACCGTTCTCTCTCTCTCTCTCCCAAACAAATTCATCTGCAGCGATTGCAGCTGCACAGTTGCACAGATAGAGAAACATGGGAAGAAGTAGAGACACATACCAGTATCGGCCATCAGCGCGGCAATCACTTCAGTATTGCGGCGACATTGCTCACTTGCTTTGGCTTTGATTGCTGCCGTTGCTGCCGTTGCTGGCGATGTTGTCGAGGAAGATGACTATTGCTAAAGCTGCTGCTGCTGCTGCTGCAGATGAGGAAAAATAACAAGGGGAAGGGAAGATGATGCACATTAAAGAAGAAGTAGGTACAGAGTGTAGAGGAACTTGGCTAAGTATTGCGGCAACCACGTTCGACTACCACGGTCGACTACCACTGGTGAGCACTTCAGCAGTTCAGCGGACGGGCGCTGATGAATACGATTTTGCTGGTTGGCTGCAGTGGCTGCTGTGTGAGTGAGTGAACCAATCGAAATGACTGCCTGCCTGCCGGAGGCCGAAGAAGAAGAAACAGCAGCAAGTTTGTTTCGCGCTGGTCGATGTCTGCAGACAACTGAAGAACTGAACTGGCAGTCGCCGTGCAACTGAGGCTGCTGCTGCTGCTGCTGTTGCTGCTGCTAGGCAGCCACGGTCGTTCTTCTCTTCTTCTCTCCTTCTTGGCGCTTCTCTCTTTCTTGTTGTTGTGTTCTCTTTTTCTCTCTTTTTTTCTGCCTCTGAAGTGGCTTCTGTTGCTGCTGCTGCTGCCACCGTTGATCAGAGATGCAAAGGGCAGAGAGAGAGAGAGGGAGAGAGAGAGAGAGAGAGAGAGAGAGAGAGAGAGAGAGAGAGCTCCCAAGAGGGCACACTGAAAAGGCAATGGCTCAATCAAAAGGTGACACGTCAAAGTGATGCGTCCAGTTAGAGTTACAGTGTGCAGATGGATGATTGATTGAAAAAATTGACCGTTGACTGCTGCTGCTGCTGCGGTGGACAGGCTGAGATTGAGTAGCAATGTGTACTATTGCCAATGAGCTGGCTCTATCTACTCCTAACCTCACTTAAGTGGACGGGCCCAAAGGGTCTGTCAGTGAGTGAGTGAGTGAGGGGGTGACAAATGCTGTTCCCTGCGCGCCAATAAATAAGTAGTTCCGACCTCCGAGTCGCCATCTGTGCAAGTGAATAGTAGTGGGAAAAGTGGGCAAACACAAACACAGTAACCAGAGGAGAAAAACTGTAACCGACAAGTCGGAAATTTCATCTTAGACTGTGCACGGGAACACGGTGTACACGCGAACATTTTTTTCACCGTGTGACCTCATTTGAGCTGACAAATGCTAGCAACTTTTATTTCAGCAGAAATCACAAACAGGCAAACCGTTTTTTAGAGTGTACTTATTGCGCGTGACTAGCACTCAATGAGTTACCGAGCACTTTTTTTATTGAGTATAGATTTGTCTGTCAGAATAAAAAATGTGTGCTTTTGGGTGTACATGAGCTGTGTTTTATTAGTAGTTTTTTCATTTGATTTCAATTAAAAGGAAGGAGTACAGTTTGAGTGTGGTACAAGTGAACAAGGTAGGCATTAGGTGACTGTAGAAAATAAACTTCACCGTATGAAACCTGTAAGTATGTGTGTTTGTGTGTTTGTACTTGTGTGTGATTGTGACAACAACAAAATCTGATCGACAAAATGAAAAAGTTGTGTCAATCGCTCAACTTTGAAGGTTGATTAAAAAGAGGGAAAAAGAGAAAAAAAGAAAGAAAGAGGCAGCAAAAATGAAAAAGGTTGAGATACTATTATTATTATTATTAATGAGATGTGTTCGGGTGTGTCTGTGTGAGCATTACTGTGTGCTTGTGTGTATTATTGCTCACGGCATTTCACTCTCTCTTTCTTTTTTCCACTATTTTCTTCCGAATCTGGTTATTAAGCCTTCTCCTGAGCCCGGGTCAGGTGCTCTCGGCTGATGACCAGACGCTGAATCTGCGCCGTGCCCTCGTAGATCTGGAAGATCTTTGCGTCACGCATCAGCTTCTCCACGGGAAACTCGGCGTTGAAGCCGGCGCCGCCGAAGATCTGCACTGCATCAGTGGCCGACTTGTTGGCCACGTCGCCGGCGTGGCACTTGGCAATCGACGCCCAGTAGGTGTTTCGCCGGCCCTGGTCGAACTCCCAGGCGGCGCGGTAGTAGCTCATGCGGGCCGTCTCAATGCCGATGGCCATGTCGGCCAGCATGAACTGCACCGCCTGGTGGCCGGCGATTGGCACGCCAAAGGTCTTCCGCTGGAAGCTGTAGGCGGTGGCCTCGTCGAAGGCTCGCTGCGCCAGGCCGACGGCGCCGGCGGCCACCGGCGGTCGGGTGAGATCAAAGGCGCCCATGGCGATGCGGAAGCCCTTGCCCTCACCGACGAGGACGTTCTTCTTGGGCACGACCACGTTCTCGAAGGTGATGCCCCGCGTGTCGGACGCCCGCTGGCCCATGTTCCACTCTTTCCGGCCGACAATGACGCCCGGCGTGTCCTTCTCCACGATGAAGCCGGTGAAGGCCTCACTGGTTTTGGCCTTTGGATCAGGGTTGGAACGGGCCAGGACAAAGTACCAGTTGGCAAAGCCGGCGTTGGTGATCCACATTTTGTTACCTAAAAGCAATGAAAATTAGCTTTGAAGGTGGTTAACAGTGTTTTTTAAATTACCATTGAGAACCCAGTCTCCGTCGGCGTTCTTCTCCGCCCTGGTTTTGACGCCGGCCACATCCGATCCGGTGCCCGGCTCGGTGACGGCGTAGGCGCAGAAGATGGGTTCAGCAGTCAGCCGCCCGAGGTACTCCTTCTTCTGCTCCTCATTGCCAAAGAGAATGACCGGCGCCTGGCCGAGGGTGTTCGCGGAGATAGCCGTGCCGATGCCCGTACAGCCGTAGCCCAACTTCTCCTCAATCATGCAGTGATCGAGCAGCGGGAGGCCCATGCCGCCGTACTGCTGGGGAATGCTGTTGGTCACGAAACCCAGCTCCCAGGCCTTCTTCACGATGTCCATTGGGTACTCGCCCGTCTTGTCGTGGTGCGGCGCCTTGGGGATGATCTCCTCCTTGACGAACTTCTCCGCCAGGTCGATGATGTTTTTTTGGTCATCGCTCANTGATCGAGCAGCGGGAGGCCCATGCCGCCGTACTGCTGGGGAATGCTGTTCGTCACAAAACCCAGCTCCCAGGCCTTCTTCACGATGTCCATCGGGTACTCGCCCGTCTTGTCGTGGTGCGGCGCCTTGGGGATGATTTCCTCCTTGACGAACTTCTCCGCCAGGTCGATAATGTTCTTCTGGTCATCGCTCAGGTCGAACCACGGCCCAGAGCCGGTGGCCGCCGTCTCGGAGACGTATCGCTTTGAGCTGCCAACTGCAAGTGACTGCTTGAGGGCGCTTGCCAGCGAGGAACGGGCCAGTTTAAAGGGATTCATGGTGGTGGTGGTGGTGGTGGTGCTTTGATGATGGGTAAATTTGTGAAAAGAAAAATGTCTAAATGTTTGTGAAGAAGAGAAGAAATGGAAGTAATGTTTTTTAGACTTCAGTTAAAGAAAAGAGCGAAAAGAGGCACAAGTTGATGGCAAATTATAAGACAGTATAAAGCTTGTAAAGATATCAATAACAAGTAGTACTAGCTACTAGCTACTACTATTGCTGCTGCTAGTGGCAGTAAGGAAGCCATTAGTTTAGGAAGCAAAAAACATTGCGGAAAATGATAAGTAAAATGGGCAAAACACTTACGCTGGCTGGTGATCAGGCACTGCTGGAAGAGAAAGTTGCAAAAACAGAGGACAGCAAAGAAACACACACAGTCACTGGCGCAAGCAGACAGCTACGGAAAGCTACTGCCGCAAAACAACGCAGACGAGATCGACGGCAAAACTGAAAGTGAGAGAAATGGGCACAGAGCTTAACTGGCAGAAGCGAGAAAGAGAGAGAGTGAAAGAGAGACTTTTGAGGTACACGAGTGACACGAAGAAAAGCCCCGGCACAGAAAATGGCGTTTCTCAAATGTTTGAGAAGGAAGAGCAAGAGAGAGAGAGTGAGAAAGAGCAGAAAGTAGAAAAAGTGGCAGAGGAATATATGGCAAGCGGTGAAGACGCTAGCAAAGGACTGAGTCAGAGGAAGAAAGTGAGAGGAGAGAGAGTAAGAGAAAGAGAAGTGGCCAGTGAAGGCAGTGCTGGCGTTAGTACTGTGTGCTTAAGTGTGTGTCACACTGCCACCTAGACTGGGCATTTTCTCGGAGGAGACCACCGCAACTAATGCCCACACGCGCACAGTAGCGCCACACTGGTCAATGCGCCCTCTGACCGCCGTTTGAGAAAAGAGGAGAAAACACGTGGGCCAGCATGTGACACGTGTGTCTGTATGAGTGTTATTGGGTCCACCAGCTCATCAGGTCTTTCTCTCTGGCATTCTCTTAATCCTCTAACTGCACCTTCAGGCAGCGCCACACTTGGCAAATGTGTGGTTGTGTTTTGTTCACGGTTGTCTCTCTATCTTTTGCTCTTTTTCACTTTGCGTCACTCGTTTCATGTCACTCGTTTGCGTTCAACCGTTTTTTGGTACTTTTCTGTGTGACATATTGCGCATGTTTAGATGGCGGTGCTCATCTTGATGCGGGTGCATCAACCGACAACCGACTACCACTAGCAAAGTACGAGTGGACTTGCCAATGACATGGCCACACACTGTTGATAGTGTGAGCTTCTGGTGGAAACCTTTAATTAGCAACTTATGGTGAGGATGATAGTGGATGATAGTATGGTGGTGTGTACACAAAGAGAGATTAGGTCAACCTGTGTACAAAATCTCTGTTGAAGTAAAGACAACTAAAAATGCAAACAAATTTTCTTTTTGCTTGTTTTAAAAACTGTATCATTTTGTACGGTTCAATTTATTAACACTGTTTTTGATCAGAACAGGCAGTTTTAAACAAAAATACAAAATAAAGATTTTAAAAAATAGTATTGATTACAAAAAAAATATCAAATTGATAAAAAATTTGATTTTAAAAAAATATAATACTGTTAGAAAATAATTGAACAAAGTTTAAGAAATATAAATTGCAAATGTTATTGTGTGGTGAACAAACAATAGTTTAAAGTTTTCAAAATAATGAAAAAGTTAACTTAAATAAAATGTTGAGCAAAATTTTTGATGCGTTTTGTATTGTTTGAATGCTATTTTAGTCCATGCCAAAAACATTTTTGGTGTTGGCAGTGTTAAGCGCCACAATGGCTATATTTGACATTTAGATTGATATCACATTGGCGGTGGTAAAAAATAACTGTTTGGTGTTGTGAAATTGTTAAGATGCGTCAATTTTCATCTTTTGGAAATTTTCTGAGATACACGTTGTTTGATGAGACGAATTTGATGAGTAAGTAAGTTCTTGAGTCCATTTTGTAGAAGTTGAACCAACATTTGACTGATCCATGCCTAGTATTTTAGCAAGATCACCGTGAAGGCGAAGAATAAATCCGAAGAGATGTGCAGCAGGAAGCGGTTGTAAGCCGACAATGTCCATGAGATCACATTGTTTCAACATAAGCAAACCCGGACCGTCAACACCGAGCGCTTCAAGGCTTTCAGCAATTTCACTGAAACCTACAGCACTGATGAAAGTCTTTACCTGAACCACTGTCCACAGGAAAACATTATCAGGCAGAGATTGCAGCTGTTCAAGGTAAGTAGACTGGGGCACAAGGAATTGCAGCTCTCCCTTGAGCCAGTGGGAAAAGTTGCGTTTCACAGCTGTGGGATTGTTGGTCATTGAGTTGATCAGGTCACTGAGTGAGTCATTTTTTGGTTCTGGCAAAAGGTACATATCGTAGCCGGGAGGACGGCGTTGCAATTGCAGTGAGCCAGGTGTCATTGTTTTGGCGCTTTGTTTGGGTCGTCGAGAAGTTTTAGTGTAGTGAACGTCAACTCGGTTGATACAACTTGCTTGTTTTTTAAGTTTTGGGAACTTTTTAGAAACATTGTTTCCAGTTTTCCGGAGTTGATCTGGGCAAAATACAGTTTTGATTTTTTTCTTAGGAGGCAAACTACTGGGAACCTTAAATAAACTTTGTTCATTTTGATTGCGTAGATCGAGCGCAACAATTTGTGAATCCTGATTAACCTGCAAATCAAAAAATAGAATAAAAATTGATTTGGTATGACATGTTAAAAGCAAGTTTACCTGTTGTTGCTTGTGTTCCGATGACGCAAACATCTGTTGAGACGCTGTTTGTTTTGGTGCGACCTCTAAGTTAGGTTGCTGAACTGACGACAGGTTACGTTTCCGAGAAGTTTCATTAACTGAGAACGTTTCAGCCTTTTGGTAATAAAGCGACAAATTCTCATCTTGAAACAAAGAAAAGTCCTCATTCTTTGATAAATTTATTGGAAATGATGCGTTCTTACTAGCCGGTACGTCTAAAGCCATTTAGGTGCTGTTCTGAAACAGTATTTGGTCAAACCTGGATGTCAATGGCAGTGGTTTTGAGCAATGTCACTGACAGATGAAAGGCAGTGAATTGACCGGTTTCTATACCTCTTTACGGTTTCCTTTGGAAAACAACAGAACAAGTTGCCGAAACACACACACACAAACACTTACTCATTGAGCACACTCATTGAGCACTGCTCAGAGTGCCCGAGTGAGCGGCACAGCCCATCTGCCGCCAGATGTTTACAATAATTTGAATTAGAGCATCTCTTTCTTGATGTTTCAGGCCCTTTGCTGAAACAGCTTTATTGCAAAAAGTTTAGCAGCACTTCCTACTAAAACAAACTAACTCAAAAAGTCACTGTTGAATCAGTAAATTTACCCAAAATCTACCAATTAATGATCACTGCCTAAGCATCGGCTAGCTTAATTTTAAAAAAATTTCAAAATTGTGTTTAACTGACATTTCACCGTCTGCCATCTAGCGGCCACTTCTGGTAACAGCAAGCCTGCTTTTCCCTGCAGAAAGGTGCGTGCAGCCAGCAAAACACAGCACAGGGCGCGCACCACAGTGTGCAGTGTGTTGCAATCGTCTGTTGCACGCTTGTTGTCTCGTGCAGCCAAACTTGTCCTGTCACTTGTCCAGCGAAGACTCCTTTTCTTTCTCTTCTACATCTTAGCCTCTTTATTTATCTTCAAAAGCAAACGTCAAACGTAAGTGAAATAGATCGGAAGAATGTACTCGGTAATTTAATCTGCTCTCTACTGTCTCTTTCTCTATCTTTGACAGCGACCACCTCTCATCATGGTGTGATTTCTTGTCTATTTCTTCTTTGAAGCCCAACCCGGTGATTACTATACCTCTTCTTCTTCTGCCAGTTTGTGTGGATAGCAGATACCAGGCCGAACATATCAGAAAAAGCAAGTTTTGCCTGCAAAGTTTCACACTTTGTCCACTTTTTTCCCACTTCTTCGGTTTCTGGTGCTCGCACGCACACACACTCATCTTTCTCGTAAGTGATAATAGCGTTTGTACAACCTCATTTCTTTCGGACAGTGCAGGAGTGCTCTGTTGTGTGTCTATCAGCTTGACTGTTTGCTTGCTTCTTCTTTTTCTGCAACTGCTGCTGTGCTCTTCTTCTTTTCTTCTTCTTTTGCAATCGCAAGCTGTCTTTTCCAATCATACGACAATACGTGCCACCCTTGTACTGTTTTATGCAATCACAAACACACACACACACACACTCGCCGTATTCATTGCATTGGTTCAGCCAGTGGTCTTCAGTTCCACTTGAAGCTTTGCATCAAACAAGTTTAAACACGATTGTTGTCACTTTTTCTTCTTCTTTTCACTCGGTTTGTTGATAAACGAGTGATTGATCGACTGATTGCTCGCATATAAATAGACTGCACAAACTAATATCAGCTTTTTGTGGCGGGTTCACTATTAAGTGGCTTGCATTTAACAATTATATTTGACTAGAGTGACATCTTCATCAGGCACTGAAACGAGTTGCAGCTAGAATACTCAACAAAATCATTTGTTTTGTTTTGATTCGCGATAGGTCAGCTTGCACGCGTCAATGTTATTGTTTGCATGTTTTTTATTTTTGTTTGCAACTACTAACTTTTAAATTGCTTGTTCTGTTCACAGTTTATCAAATATTCTGTTTTCACCGTTGCTCACATCAAAACTGTTGCTTATATCAGTGCAATAACACCAGTTCAAACAAATCAACTCAGCCACACTACAAAATGACCATCGACAGCACCCAGAAGCTGCTGGACGCCCTCGAGGAGCGCATCCTCCTCATCGACGGCGCCATGGGCACGATGATCCAGCGACACAAGCTGGAGGAGGCGGACTACCGCGGCGACCGCTTTGCCGATCATCCCTGCTCCCTGAAGGGCAACAACGACCTGCTGTCCATTACCCAGCCGGAAATCATCTACGGCATTCACACGCAGTACCTGGAGGCGGGGGCGGACATCGTGGAGACGAACACCTTCAGCGGGACGACCATCGCCCAGGCTGACTACCAGTGCTGCGACATCATCTACGACCTGAACTACGAGTCGGCAAGGGTGGCACGACGAGCTGTGGATGACTTTGTGGCGAAGCACGGCGTGGCGAAGTTTGTGGCCGGCGCCATGGGCCCCACCAACAAGACGCTCTCCATCTCGCCCAGAGTGGAGGAGGCCGCCTTCCGCGACATTCACTGGGACACCCTGGTCACGGCCTATCGCGAGCAGGCGGAGGCGTTGCTGGACGGCGGCGTCGATCTCCTCCTCGTGGAGACCATCATCGACAGCGCCAACGCCAAGGCGGCCCTCTTCGCCGTGCGAGCCGTCCTCGAGGAGCGGAAGCTGAACACGCCCATCTTCGTCTCCTGCACCATCGTGGACAAGTCGGGGCGGACGCTGTCCGGGCAGACCAGCGAGGCCTTCATCGTCAGCACCGGCCACGCCAAGCCGATGGCCTTTGGGCTGAACTGCGCTCTCGGTGCCCGCGACATGGAGCCCTTCATCAAGCGGATTGCCGTCTTTGCGGAGAACAGCTACATTCTCTGCTACCCGAATGCCGGTCTGCCCAACGTTTTCGGCGAGTACGACGAGTCGCCGGAGGACATGGCCAGCGACATTGGCCGCTTTGCCGCCCAGGGCGTGGTGAACATTGTCGGAGGGTGCTGCGGTTCGACGCCGGATCATATCAAGGCGATCAGCGAGGCGGTCGGAAAGTACCCGCCACGGCAGGTGAAGGGCCACTACAAGGACTTCATGCCCGCCACGTACTTCTCCGGACTGGAGCACTTCAAGTTTGACTCGACGACGCTCTTTGTGAACATCGGTGAGCGGTGCAATGTTGCGGGTTCCAAGAAGTTTGCCCGTCTAATTCGGGAGAAGAAGTACACTGAGGCGCTGCAAATTGCCAAAGATCAGGTGGAGAACGGCGCGCAGGTTATAGATATCAACATGGACGAGGGTATGTAGGCTGGTAGTCTAAAAATGTGTTCTTTAATATCCTCTTTTTGAACTACAGGTCTGATTGACGGCCCCCGTGAGATGGCCCACTTTCTCAACTTGATCGCCACCGAACCGGAGATCTGTCGCGTGCCAGTGTGCATCGACTCCTCCAACTTCGCCGTCATTGAGGCGGGCCTGAAGTGCATTCAAGGAAAAGCGATCGTCAACTCCATCAGCCTAAAGGAGGGCGAGGCGGATTTTGTGAAGAAGGCAAAGCTGATCAAGAACTTCGGCTGCGCCGTCGTGGTGATGGCCTTCGATGAGAAGGGCCAAGCGACGGAGGAGAGAGACAAAGTGGCCATCTGTAAGCGCTCTTACGACATTCTGGTGGGCGACCGCGTCGGTTTCAACCCCAATGACATCATTTTCGATCCGAACATCCTCACGATCGGCACCGGCATGGAGGAGCACAACAACTACGGCGTCAACTTCATCGGCGCCTGTCGCGGCATCAAAGCGGCCTGTCCGGGGGCGCACATCAGCGGCGGCGTCTCCAACCTGTCCTTCTCCTTTCGGGGGAAGGAGAAGATCCGCGAGGCAATGCACTCCGTCTTCCTCTACTACGCCATCAAGGCGGGCATGGACATGGGCATCGTCAACGCCGGCGCCCTGCCCCTCTACACCGACATTGAGCCGGCGCTGTTGGAGCTCTGCGAGGAGATCATCCTCAACAAGAGCCCCAACGGGACGGAGAAGCTGCTGGAGTACGCGACGACGCTGGGCAGCGAGGCGAAGAAGGACGCCGGCAGTGTGGCGGACTGGCGCCTGGAGGCGGCCGAGGTGCGCCTGGAGCACGCCATTGTCAAGGGCATCGACCAGTTTGTGGAGGTGGACGTGGAGGAGTGCCGCGCTGACACCGCCAAATATCCCCGCCCGCTGCACGTCATCGAGGGGCCGCTGATGAAGGGCATCGGCATCGTCGGCGACCTCTTCGGCGAGGGGAAGATGTTCCTGCCGCAGGTGATCAAGTCGGCGCGGGTGATGAAGAAGGCCGTCGCCTATCTGATTCCCTTCATGGAGGCGGAGAAGGCGGCGAATGACGCCAACGGCGACGGCGGCGACGAGGTGAACCACATGCCCACCGTGGTGATTGCCACCGTCAAGGGGGACGTCCACGATATTGGCAAGAACATCGTCGGCGTGGTGCTCGCCTGCAACAACTTCAAAGTGATTGACCTGGGCGTGATGACGCCCTGCGAGAAGATCATCGAGGCCATCAACGAGCACAACGCCGACATTCTCGGCCTCAGCGGGCTAATCACGCCTTCCCTGGATGAAATGATTCACGTCGCCAAGGAGCTGGAGAATCTCAACTACAAGATTCCTCTGTTAATCGGCGGCGCGACCACCTCACGAAAGCACACCGCCGTAAAGATTGCCCCGCGGTACACCGCCCCGGTCATTCACTGTCTGGACGCCTCAAAAAGCGTCGTCGTCTCTTCGAAGCTTCTCGATGACAAGCACCGAGAGGACTTTCTTGATGACATCCTCGAAGAGTACGAGGACATTCGCGTGGACCACTACGACTCGCTGAAGGACCGCGTCTATCTGAGCTACGAGCAGGCGAAGGCGAAGAAACTTCGCCTGCCCTTCGATAAGTCGTACATTCACGAGCCGTCATTTCTCGGTACTCGCGTCTTTAAAGACTACGACCTAAACAGCCTGCGTGAGTTCATCGACTGGAAGCCCTTCTTTGACGTCTGGCAGCTGCGTGGAAAGTACCCTAATCGCAACTATCCAAAAATTTTCAATGATGAGACGGGTAAGTTTTAAAATGCTCTACACTAAAGTATTTCTAATAGCATAACCATCTTTTTGCAGTGGGCAAAGAGGCGCTGAAGGTGTTCAACGAGGCGAACCAGATGATCGACGAGCTGGTGAAGAGTGGCGCCCTGAAGGCGCACGGCATCGTCGGCTTCTACCGCGCCAACTCCGTCAACGACGAGGACATTCTGCTGATGGACGAGCAGGGGCGGGAGATCGCCACACTGTACGGCCTGCGCCAGCAGGCGGCCAAGGACTCGCACGACAACGCCCCCTACACCTCGCTGGCCGACCTGGTGGCCCCTCGAGAGTCGGGCCTCACCGACTACGTGGGCCTCTTCGTGGTCAGCGCCGGCTTCGGGGCGCAGCAGATCAGCGACGACTTTGCGGCGAAGAACGATCCCTACGGGGACATTCTGATCAAGGCGGTGGCCGACCGCCTGGCGGAGGCCTTCGCCGAGGAGCTCCACCTGCGCGTCCGCCGGGAGCTGTGGGGCTACCAGCCGACTGAGGAGCTGGAGGCGGCCGACCTGCTGAAGGTCAAGTACGAGGGCATCCGCCCGGCGCCGGGCTACCCCAGCCAGCCGGACCACACCGAGAAGGAGACCATCTGGCGGGTGATGGACGTCGAGGCGGCGACGGGCATTCAGCTGACCGACTCGCTCGCCATCTGGCCGGCCGCCAGCACCTGCGGCATCTACTTCGCCCACCCCAAGTCGGCGTACTTTGCCGTAGGGAAGATTCAGAAGGATCAGGTCGCTTCCTACGCCGCTCGCAAGAAGATGACCCTAGAGGAGACCGAAAAGTGGCTCAGTCCGATGCTTGCCTATGAACCGTGAAGGCAGCTTTCTACAAATGCTCAAGGCACCACACCAAAGGACGTGTACTCACAAACCAGTTCAGATATAGTTTTTACCCTTTTTGTCTGATTAATTGTAATTGTTAAAAAATGAATCTGCTAAATAGGTGATTAATAGCAAATACTTGTTAAATTGTTTACTCAGTTGCCTATCAGGTTAAAGGCAATCTTTTCCTAGGCCAAAATGTCAATAAATCAATTTTGCTTTTTAATGATTTATTAGGGTAAAACAAACCCAACTTTGAAGCTTTTTCTGGTAAAGATATAATAATATTGTTTTTTAATGATTTTTAGTTTAAGAACAATGTTTGTAGATAAGTTGGGTAAAAGTGAAAAAATTTTTGCAACAAAAAAAGAAAGTATAAAGAGAGAAATATTTCTAAAGTTAATAAAAATCAGAAATTGATAAATAGAATCGTTTGTAATAGATTTTGTAGCAAAGAAAAGCCAACGTAGATTGATCACCTCAGTAGTAAACCTTACCATTGTCCCCCAGTTTCTCAACTAGCATCTCAATATTTTTATTATCATAGGGAAATGGGGCATCGTGTCCTGCCTTGATCCAGTGCTTGAACTTCTTGTCGTCCAGCATGGTTGCCATCATGACGACCAATGCATGCTCTTCTCCGGCCTCAATCATCTGAAGTAAAAGTAGAAATATAAGTAGAATCTGTTCTAAAAATGCTAACAACAACAACAACAACAGAACCACTGTGCAACTTACGCCGTTCAAGATGAGGTACTCTAAAAAGGAGCGACCTCGAAAAGTCTGTGGAACGCGGGGCCCGAGTGTGTGAATGATCCACCGGTCTCGAACGAAACCAGAGAGGACGATGAGCACATGGAAGAACAGAAAGCGGAGGATGGAGGCAGCAATGAGGGTAACGTAGGAGAACCAAAGAGCGCTGAAGATCACTCGGTTAAGGTAGTTGTTCATCATCGCGCAAATGAAGTCCTTCTGATAGGCAGCTCCGGGAGAGAAGAGCCGATTGGAGCACTTGGCGACTGCCGGGAAGATCTGCTCGAAAGAAGAGTAGTGAGTGGATACAGGATGACTGGGTGAAAGGGAGCAAACAGCTTTCTCAGGTGGTGTCAGAAAAGGAAGACTTACGTAGGTGAGGACGTTTTCGACGTCGTTGCCGGCTGCCGACCCGCCCAGCTCCTGCTGAATTAGGCTCACCCCGAGGAGGAAAAACTTGCCGAAAAAAAGCCAGTTGAGGAAGAACATCGACACTAGAAGGGAGGCCAATATTGGCAGACCGATGGAGAAGTAGCACAGGAGCATGGCCGCTTTCTGGCGTGGATCACTCAGAGTGCGCTTTGCGTTGTGGAAGAAAATGCAGAGGCGACCTGGTTGATAGAACTTATCACTCAAACAGTTTTGGGGGCTTTGGTAGCCTTCGTAGCTAGACTTCTCCCAATCAACACGCCACGATTCCAGGCAGATTCCAGCGTAGTTGATTGCAGCCTACAACAGAGAACAAAAAATGCAGAAAAAAGGCCTTTTTAGAGAGCTGTGTATGTGTGTGTCTCATCTTACTCGTCGTGAACTACTACCACGACTACTACTTACTAGCAAGACGAGAACAAGGATAACGAAGTTGTAGTAGGCGAGGCGATCACGGGCAACGCCATTTGGTTCTCTTTGTCGCAGAAGCTGTTTGATGGAAGGAGAGAAGACGTCCGAGCGAAACCAGCTGGTGTTTCTCCAGAATGGCCCCAACGTCGGCGTGCGAAGGACGTAGGTGCTATTCCAGTAGCACATTTCTTTGTTTAGCACTCCAGCGTCAAAGGACTCAAAGTTGGGGATGCACTCGTGGCTCTTGCCATTCCGAAATCCCCTTTTTCCTCGTCCTTCCAGAAACCAAATCTGGGCCAGCAAGAATATGTGCTCAATGAGGAGAATCACATGCATGTACAGCAGCACGTCGCAAAAGAGCTTTCGGTGAAGGGGCTCGGTGGGCTGAGATGAGTCACCCTCCTCTTCGACATCGTCGATCTCGTCCGACGTCAAGCAGTGCCTGACAAACTTTGGGAATAAGGGTTGAGCAGCAAGACCTAGCATCATTTTGCTGTCAGGGTAAAAGGGCAAGGCAAGCAGAGAAGTGGTGAAGAGAGTGGTGAAAGTGGTGAAGCGGAGAGTGGCCGGTGAAAGTGGAGCTGTTCAGCGCTCGGCACAAAGTGAGAAAAGCAGACAGCGGACAGTTCTCTTTTATACTGCCAGAAGGAGATGAGCGAGGTGCGCCACAGGCAGTCGCAGAAAGGGAGGGAACGAAAGGGGGGGAAGGGGGTAACCAGACAGACTAGCCAATGACTCATTTACAGGCATGGCAAAAAGTAACGCGATTTTTCAAACTTAAAGTTAGAACTTGAAACTTTGCCACCATGAATGTAGCTTGTCCAGACAATCACAACAAGTCAACTCATGTCACTCTTTGTATCTTTGTCGCTCAAACCACAAGCTAAATTTTTTTTAAAACACAGTTTTTGCACGTTTGTCGTTCAAACTTTTGAGCCTCCATCGTGCACCACATTTTAATGTTTTGACGTACTTGATCGATCGCATCAGAGGAAAAAATGGACAACTCAAATTTATTATTAGAAAATAAAAACTGTGTTTTCACGCAAAAACTAAACGGATACGTGTTTCACTATTGCAAAATTACTCAACGCCTTTGCAGGAGCAGTCCACAATCATAGAAAGTGCAAAGATAGAAGAGTAAGTGTATCGCGGTGATGGTATAACAAAAAAAAGTAAAGAGGAGTAAAACAAAAGTAACAATTGGCGGTCAGCAACAACATAGGTGTCACGCCTGTGTGGTCAGTTGTCCACCAGCCAAGGCGAGTCAATGGCGCCGGCACCGGCCATGATGCCCGTCTCATTGCTGGTGGCCGCCTTGGCACGCAGCAGGTGGCCTGCATTGCGGTTGAAGACCACTACCCCACCACCGCCCGAGGTACTGTTACTGCTGAGAATAGTGCCGTAGACGCCCAGCTCGGTCTTGATCTGCGCCCCCGCCTGGTGCTGTGCCTCAAGCGGCACATCAGGCCGCAGGATGAGCCCACTCATCGGCGGCTGGTTGATGTACTCCATCAGCGTGTAGGCGTCCTCCTGTTCGGTGCCGACGATGCTCTGCAGCATTTCCGGTATCTCCGCGTCAAAGTAGTTATTGCCGCCGCCCTCTCGGTTCGGCTTCAGCACGTAGGCGGACGGACTGGCGGTGGCCAGTGCCAGCGAGGACTGGTTGGCGGGATAAAACTGGGCAAAGGTGTTCCACACTTTGGCCACCATGGCCGGCTCGGATGGTTCAATGTAGCGCGCCAGAATGTCCTGGCTGCAGAGAACTGACTGGAACTTCTTCACGCCAGCCAGTTGAAAGTGAATCGCCGGACATTTGATCGCTTTGGAGCGCTCCAGCAGTAGGCGCACACTCCAGGCGTTTTCATAGACAAAATCGGCCGGAGCGTAAGCGGTGCGAAAGTACACCACCGCCAGTTCGACCGTTTCAACGGTGTTCAGGTGCCCCTGTACTCTAAGTAGAAGCTCTTTGTTTGGTCCCAGACAGGTGGCAGCGTCCAGCTGGTGGAATGTACGGCGGAACAGCTTGATGTCGCTGTTCGCCTTCTTGACCGTCCACTCAATCAGCTTCTGGTCCATAATGTTGACTACCTCCTCTTCGACTACCACCAGAATGGCCGCCTCAGCCTTTCCATAGACAGCATGGGCGTCCACTAAAGCCTGCGCCACGTCTTTAAGCGAAGAGTTCTCTGGCAGCATCTGCTCAATGACACTGGAAGGCAGGTTTTGGAAGTTTTGCAGTGTGTACCGGTGAAAGTCGGCCACACTGGGCGCCAGACCGGCAAAGCTGACGGAGATGGCGTTCACTTCAACTTGCTTCATCACATTGTGAGAGTCGATTATGTAGTCGGAGCGAAAGATTCCCAGTGCATGTTCGGCCGCCTGGCCCTCCTTCCGAACAGTTTGACTAATGTTCAGCAGCTTTTCGGTGAAATCGTCCACCTTGATTAGATCACCCAGCACCTCCTCAACGAAAGCGGTATCATTGCCAATTTTGTTCATCATCTGGTTGATTGGAATCTGAATGGCAATTGCTTCATTGAAGCACTGTCTGTTGACTGGTGAGGGGAACAGTGTCACTGGAAGATGATTGTACACATGAGCTTTGCTGTTTGGGTCTCGACGACGAACGGTCAAATCTAAATATAAATCATTTTAGTTAACCAATTATGTTTATTTTAGTATTAGTATGAGTGATTCTTTACCAAGCTTCATAGCCATTAATCGGGCTTCATCTTCAATGTCATTCCAGCTGTACTTTTTTTCCATTTTGTCCATTAAAATGGCTATTCAGTTGTTTAATGCTAATACAATTTGCAGTAGTATTAGCTGGTACACTTTGCAATAACACAGGCTAAATAAACCAGTCGCTGAACAAAAAAAGCTGATAAACACCGTTGAATAGGAAGACGTGTAAGTGCACTTAAGAAGACCGACTAGAAGGTTATCCTGGTTACACTGGCGATGAAAGAAAGTAAATTGTTAGAGCAAATTGATTACTAGGAGACCTGATCACACAAAGTACAGCACTCAGTACAGTGCAATAAAGTGGCACTGTACATGCCGTCTCGAAGTGGGAACCTTGTGTGAGCTACTGAATACTTACTGGCACTTCTCAACTTAGCGAGCATCAAACACAAAAGACGGGGCTTGCAGTAAGAGAAAAGTAAGAGAGAGAAACACTGAAGTGATGGTGATATTGACAAAAACTTGATAACACCAACAACAACAAACCAATTGGCGTTGACTATTTGCACAGGAGAAGCTGCGTGAACTATTGTCGTGCGTGCGTGCACAAATGTAGAAGAATGGCTGATAACGATAATGTTCCGAGCTGGTAAAACGAAATTGTAGTTTTGACACTTTTACATGGCGGCAGCGTGACATTTTTATACAGTGACATACAAGGTTCATTTAGTTTTACAAACCAAGATTTTTTAATAAAATGACTTTAATGATTTTGACTAATATACACATTGGATGTTTAGTGTACAATGGATACAGTAATGGGATAATGAACAATGAAGCAAATGTAAATGTGTGTGAATGGTATACAAAAGATTATATTAAGTTTCAAAAAAATGAGACACTTGCAAACAAAAGTAAATTAACTTTGTTCTTTTTTAATTTTAGCAGACAATATTAATTTTTTGTGTTTACCATTCAATTTAATTACAAGTTATACAAGTGTTGAGTGAATAATTCCAAAATAAACGACAATTTCAAAAAGTTGAAAGTAATGATTCAGAAACAGTGAAAATGTGAAATGGTCGGGTGATGCGTATTTGTGCTTCATGACTGTTTGTTTGTTAAAAACAAATTTGTTCCTCAAAGAAAATGGCTTTGCTTAATGACAATGAGACGATGATGATGATGACCACAAAATAAGTACAGTTACTTACACATGAAGTGAGGTGACTGAATGAAGCTCGAGGTATTTAGTTAAACCAACGAGGATAATAGGAAATATATACTGTAGTTGACATTGAAGAGGACCTGAGAAAAGTTCGCAATGTGCGTGTATGTGTTTGTATGGGTTGATATGAAATAAAAATGCTGCAGGAATGTTTGTGATTTACCGGTGTGCGTGTGTGTTTGAAAGAGGAAAAAGAAAAGGAAAAAGAATGTGTGTTTGTAATAATACCTGAACAATTGGTAAATCAGCACCCAGTGTGTGTATGAGTTCTCACATCAGGAAAGGGAAAAAAGTGAAGTTTGAATATGCATTTAACAACAGCAGAAAAACAATAAAAGCAGAGTGGTTCATAGAAGGAAGTGGAAGAAGAGGAGGAGAGAATAAGACAGAGGAAGAGTTGGCATAGAGTTGACAGCACCGACGACCAGAGGATATTATAGCATGGCAATGCGGAATAAAAGAAGGGGCACCAGAAGGGCGGACAAGTTGAGCAGAATCACAGTGAAGAGTGGCGGCTGGCAGTTAGCACCCGAATTTGGTCCCTCAGAAGGACACTGCAGCAGGTCCGCCTCTGACTCCAGCAGCATTGCCTCCTGCTGCTCTTCGTTGACGTCCAAGGTAGTTGTACTGCCACCACCGGAAGTATTTGTACCACCACCACCACTTGCACCACCACTATTTCCGGTGTTGCTGGCGGCACTGCTGAGGAGGTAGGCGGCACACTTGGCCTTGAAGGCGGCCAGGGAGAGGGTGGTCGCGTCGCAGACGCTCTCCACCAGCGAGTGGTAGTGTATGGTGGAGTTGTAGGCGGGGCAGTAGCGGCCCTTGAGCAGCCAGGCCATCTGACAGTGGCTGCAGTCCAGCCGATTGCCCAGCAGGCTGATCTTCACGAACTGCCCGAAGAGGGGGCGGAAGGTGGACTGGGGGAGGAAGGTGACCGAGTTGTTCGACAGGTTCAGCTCGGTGGAGCAGTCCACGCGGATGGAGGTGCTGTTCAGTGAGGCGGGCGTCAGGCGGTTGTTGCTCAGGTCGAGCGTGTAGAAGAGCTTCTCGTAGGAGCCGTACTGGTGGTGGTCGGCGGTGCACTGCCCGGCGGCGTTCAGCCGAATGGCGCCCGACTCCACCCGTTCCAGCTGATTGCCCGAAAGGTTGATGTTTCGCAGGTTGGGCAGGCGGTTGAAGGCGCCGCCGTAGAGCGTCTTGATGGCGTTGCCCAGCAGCGACACTCGCCGCAGCTGCTGAAGAGTGCCTGGTCTGGCGGTGAAGGCGTTCGGGGGGATGAAGCTGAGGCCGCAGCGGTGAATGACCAGCGTGCTCAGCCGCGTGAAAGTCTGCATGGCGGCGAAGAGCGAGTACACCGACTCATTGGTGTAGCCCAGCTTCGGATTGCCGTCCAGCTTGAGGGTGTTGGCGCCCTGGTTTGACGGCTCAAAGGCGCCCTCCTCGAAGGTGCTCAGGTAGTAGTGGCCCTGGATGGTGAGGGCCAGAAAGTGAAAGTTGTTGAAGCTTCGACTGACCAGCTTCTCCAGCGGTGAGTTGGCGAAGATTAGGTGGGCGAACTTGAGCTGGGTGGAGGAGGAGGCCTCGGCGAAGATGTACCGAAGGTCATTGGAGTTGGTGATTGAGCTGTTGCAGATGATCTGTCGCGATTCAGGCAGACAGGTGCAGGGGTGCAGCTTCTCTGGGGTGGGACACTCATCGAACATCAGCTGGTAGGTGGGCACTGGCGCCTGTTGGACACTGGGGGACGCCAGCAAGAGGAAAAGCAAGAGAATGGTGGTAGTGGTGGTGGTGATGACCAGCCGAATGGAAGATGAGGGCGACATGGTCAAAAAGAGACATAGGGCGACAGTTGACAGCTCCTGGCTGCCAATTGCTGAGTTAGCACTGATGACACCAATTATTGTTTACAAACTGAGAAAAAGGATGATAGAAACGAACAGTTGGAAGATAGCAGTAAGTGTGCAAACACACGCACGCACGCAGTGTTACCGGTTGATGCAAAACTTAACTAAATGCGGGCAAACCAGTGGCGAAAGCTAAGGCTAAAATCAAGGCGCAGGAAAAAGAAAAAAAGGAAAAAGATGCCAGATGGGCTAAGACGATGCATGACGCACCGACTGACCAACTGTCACACGCAAACACATACACACACACAACTCACTGATCAGAGGAAGAGAGAGAGAGAGAGAGGAGAAAAAAAGAGAGAGGGGGCACTTGTTGTCCTGCCTGACAGATGGTTGGTGAGCCTGAGAAAGAGAGAAAGAAAAAGAGAGAGACAGTTTGGCTCGGAAGGTAGGGGAGACGGAAGAGGCACTTGTGCACTTGAGAAAAAGGGAGGAAAACGGAAGAAGGATCGGAAGACACGGTGTGGAACGCCACCGTTGACACTTGAGCTGACGCTGGCGCCTAAGCCCGAGCAGTGACAACCGCAGTTCTTTTTCAGTGCGTGCACACTTTCGACTGGTCAAATGGCGAGGGTGGCCAGAGCAATACTCGGTGCTGCTATTTTCGCTGCCAAGAGCCAGTGTGTGCAGAGAGTGCGTGCGTGCGTGCGAGTGTCTGTATTTGACAGCGTCAGTGCGACGCACGAGTTTTCTCTGGCCAAGAAATACACACACACAGAGGCAGAGAAAGCACCAACACACAACAATCTTTCGCTTGCGCGCGCCTTCACCACTTGCTCTTTCGTTGTTTTTGGTGCCTGTCAGTGGTGGTGGTGGTGGTGCTGTGTGTCTGTGTGAATGCTTGTGCGAGTGTGTTTGTTAGTGCTGCTGCTGTTGTTGCAGTTGGTACAGTGTCTTTCTTGCTTGCAATTGCTGTTGGACGGTCGGTGGTGTTCACTGGCGATGGTGGTGGTGGTGGTGGTTATGCAGAAGACATGTGAGGCACCGAAGTGATGAAGGAAGGCACAGTGAGGGGCACTCTCGGCCGAGGGGAATGTGCAACAAAAAATTGTGCCTTTGCAGAAGGAAGGAACGAACGAAGCGCAGGAGCCAGCGCAAGCGGACAGGACAACAGAAGCAGCAGGCAACTGGCTAACTGACTAACTGACTAACTGACTAGCTGACTAGCTGACTGACTGACTAACTGACAGACTACTACTGCTACTAGCCAACTGACGACCAATGCCAATGCTAATGGTACTACCACCACTAGGAAGAACATTTACTGAAACAGCTAAGCAGCAAAAGACGCACTACATCTACTAATTTTTAAATGCATTTGTCTTGTTGAGTTGAAAAAGGGGGAGAACAGGCAGTTATGGAGAAATAAACAACCAGAAAAATATTTGATTTTAAAGGAATAGTGCAGAATTGCAAATGAAACATTCTGGAATATGAATATTTTGTGTCACAAATGCTGAATCAATATCATGGTGATATATTTTAAATAAATGCTAACTTTATGGTTGTTATAAGCATTAAGAAACTTTTAGAGCAATAAACATAATAAAATTACCAAGCACAATAATTGACACATTAGACGTATAGTTGGTAGTGTAGTTTCAATTTCATTATAATAAAACTGGACAGTAAAAAATAGTAAAAACAAAACTATTTCATTGTGATGATTGCATTCACCGATTAGTAAATTCATTAAATTAAGTGACACAAAAAAATCTAAAATACATGTACACAATCCAAACTTAATTGTTAATTTTTTGTAAAAATAAAATTATGTACAAAAAAATTCTAATGACTATGCAACTATTTCAAAAACTGTCGCAAAATAAAATAAAAACAAATTGAAATGTTTTTATTTAGATGTTTGGAAAAACCAGCATCTAGTTTACTAATTGCCGACATTTATTAGTTACAAAATTTATAGTTAAAATGTTATTTTTGTTTTTCAAGTAATGACACTATGAAATTTTTCTTTATCAGGCACATAAAGTACAGCACAAAAAATAAAAACTTATGTCAAATCTTTTTATCTATTTCATTAGTGTCCTTGACGTTCATTTGTGCTGGCAACCCTCCTCAGCGATCGTCAATGATAGCCTGTGTACTGGTCAATGTACATTCATTTCTAATTGGCCCTCCAAGATATCACAATGTACTGTACTTTTTCTGTAGTAAACTATACATTTTTTCAGTGGACACAACAGCGGCATCCACTCTGTCATGTGGCTCATTACGAAAACCATTTGTTAAAACGGCAACCTGCACTATGTTTCTGTTTATGTTAGAATGTTGTGTTCTACTTATAAATACACTACAGTTCAATCGATCTTGAGCAATCAATTGACTGAAGGCATTGAATGATTGCTTTGGCAACTTTTCAATATCGATTGTTAAAAGTAATTTGTCATTTTCCACACAATGTCAATAAGTGTGTATTTTTTGCCAGTCGTTTTTGAAATAGAGCGTTGTTTGTTTTGACATTTAAAGTACTTTTATTAAGAATTTTTAAACTGAATTATGTTAAGAACTTATAAAATATGTATTTTATGTAAAAAACACATTGTCAATAATATGTTAATCAAAGTTATTTATACCAAATCTACATATAAAACAACTGAAAAATTTCAAATTTGAAACACAAACTGCTATATTTAACAATGTTTCCTTTAAATTAAGTATTTTGCAACTAATTTAATGTAAACGCAAATAAGTATTTTACGTTGGTAATGGCACTATATTGACAAAAAACCTGGATTAGATACCAGATAGCACTTTTCTGTCTTGTCAATTCACGTTTGCTCAAAACGCTTAAAATAGTGCTGCATTTTTTTCCGTTGTTTGTCAGTTTGCAGCATGCTAAACGAACGTGTGCATCAATCGATTAGTCGCTTTAATTATGCTCTGCTGCTTCTGCTGTTATAATTTCCCTGCGCTGGTAGACAGTGGAAATGCCTGTGCGCGCACTGTAGTCGACCGGTGCCAAATATGATTTGATTTGATTGAGGTAAACAGATTGTTGCCAGCCACAAGTGTCCTGCAGTGTGTCACAATGCCCAGTCACACACATACTGTGGAAATGTATGCAAAACAGCGCCTCAATGTTAGACGACTGTAGTATTGCCGAACCACGCTTAACCCCATTTAGAATTGCATCTTTTATGACTTGGAACTGCACTAAACAATTGGACAGTAATGACCGCAATAACAAAATCTCATTTAGTTGTAATGATTAAATGTAGTATTTTAGTTTATTCAATTAGGGTTGTCAATGTAAAACTTTCATGAGAATCAATTTAGAATTGTTGATACTTAAAATAACTTTTTTGTTGTTTGTTCAATAAATTGAAAAAACGAATTGAGTTCAAAAGTGCCAGGCATTATTGCAAACAAACAGCTGCTGCAAAAATTTTGTGACTAATGATTTATTTTCAAAGTGAACATGTAAAACACTTTTAGGAAGTACTAATGTACATTTGTTTGTTTATGCTAGTATTTTAATCGTTGCAAGTTTTGAATTAGTTTCATTTGGTGCTTTTTATTTGGCTCAAACACAAAAAACTCAACAGTAAATTTTGAAATTTATGGTAATTCTAAAATACTTTTAAAACCACCAAATTCCAATATGAAAGTAAATCAGTAGAATAACAGCTCAATAGTCAGTCAAACGCTTGGCAAACATAGTATGAACATAAAGTGACCGCTTTTTCTACAAACAGTTGTACTTTTCAATTTTCAGAGCAAACATACACAGTGAACCTCATGCACCGAGCGTACTTTGAAAAAACACCAGGCATCAAGGAAGAAAGAANGTATGAACATAAAGTGACCGCTTTTTCTACAAACAGTTGTACTTTTCAATTTTCAGAGCAAACATACACAGTGAACCTCATGCACCGAGCGTACTTTGAAAAAACACCAGGCATCAAGGAAAAAAGAAAGAGAGAGAGGAAAGATACCTTTTGAGAAAAGAGCACCATCGACAATTCATTTCACCCTGACTGCTTATCAGCGGAAAATTAGGCATCCGCCCACACTACTACTGTAGGCGCTTGTGCACCAGATGCTCGGCTCTGACTGGGACACACTGACTGACTGACTGCCTGTTTGGGCGTCTTCTCTTCACCTATTACACACCTTATCATCAATAAAACCACAGGGCAGAACTGCAAGTTGTTGCCTGTTCGGTCGTCAGTGTCGGTCAGACCGCGTGTACAACACACTCAGACAGTCGTCATCCCTATCAGTGGAGAACTACTTTCTATGTGAGTGTGTGTGTGTGTGTACATGTCCTCGCACGCCCTCTCCGCTGATAGAGCACCAGCGGTGACCGGCGGTGAGCTGTCTTCTTAAATACCGCCGCGCCGCAGTGAGCGTTACGCATAGGTACTTTGCCAGCCTGTGACACTGACTGACTAGCTGACTGCCTCACACACTGCCTCACTGCCTCACACCCTGCATTTTCCCCATTTGATTTGGCCTGTGCTCACTTGTTGGCCGGCTTTCTTGCCAGCTCACACACACACACACACACTCACTTGCTTGACTGCCTCAGTCTTAGGTAACTTGTTTTCTTTTTTCCCTTTCCCTCTTCTTCACTCGGCACTTAGTGAAAATTACCAGTTTTTGCTACATTTTTTGTCTTCTTTTTCTTCCCCTTCTTTTCCTTACCAGCTAACGTCATCCTCTTGTCCAGAAACCATAAAACAGCTCATCATCCGTTTTCTGAACTTGAAATTTTTGGTAATTGATTTGTACAGCAGCAGCAGCAGGACACCCCAACACTGCAGTCGTAAGTCATCACTAGTTTGTAAACATTTGATGCGCTGCACTTGCGTGCACTTGTACACAAAAATGCACATCATGGCATGCACACACTCATGCTAGCTAACAGCTGCAACACAAAACACTGATCACATTTCTTTTTCCTATTACTTTCTATCTGTCTGGAACCTTCTAACCCGGTGTTGGATATCATCTTTCCTTATATCTGAAAAAACTTTGGGGTTTTTGGTTACTTAATCTTGGTCTTTTATTCTGAACAACAACAACCTTTTGTTACTTTCTATTTTGGTAGTACTTTGCACTTTTGCAAAGTAACAGGTTAGTGAGACTTTTATTTGCATTAATTTCTGCATTTATTGCTTTATCCCGACCATTCACTAACCTTTTCTTTCCCTTTTTCTATTAACCAATTGCTTTCCTTTGCATCTTATAATGTTTTTGCTTTATTTGCTGTTTCAATTTGATACTTGTCACAACAACAACTTTTCTTACACTACTAATTGTTATTGTCGTGCTTTGCTAATTAAGAGTTTTTATATTGACTTTTGTCTCTAAACTCCCCTCCAATCCACTTCAAAACCACCTCAACCGCACACAACCTAAACACCTTGTCATATTTTGATGGTCATTTTCAGCCCATGTTACTCTCAATCTTCTTCACTGGTCTCCTTCTTTCACTCGTCCGTCTGGTGAACTCCTTTCTGGAACGCTTTCGACCTGACAGAATGAAGCGCTGGCTCAACAACAACGTCAACATCTTCTACCATCACTTTTGCAAGGTACGAGTGCACCTCTCTCGTTTGTGGCAGTAGCGATTGGTGTTGATAACAGCACAGGCGATAGTGCATTTTGACGGAGGGGCACTGGTGTACACAGCACCTCAGTCTGTTTTCTGTTCACAAACATGTGTACCGGTGGTTTAATTTTGTTGTTGTTTTTTACCTTCACAGAAAATCGACCCAAATGACAAACGCCACGGAGGCGACCTGGTGGCCTCGGTGCTCAAGTCACACGGCGTGCAGCACGTCTTCACGCTGTCCGGCGGCCACGTGGCGCCCGTGCTGACCGGCGCCGAGAAGCTAGGCATCAAGATCATCGACACGCGCCACGAGGTGACCACCGTCTTTGCCGCCGACGCCAGCGCCCGACTGTCCGGCGTGCCCGGCGTGGCAGTGGTCACCGCCGGTCCCGGCGTCACCAACACCGTCACCGCCGTCAAGAACGCCCAGATGGCCGAGTCGCCCATTGTGCTGTTGGGCGGTGCCGCCGCGGGCATCCTCAAGGGCCGAGGCGCTCTGCAGGACATTGAGCAACTGTAAATTTAATTGTTCCCTCATTATTAATATCAGATTTAATCAATTGTTTTCCCCTTGCAGGTCGATCTTCAAGACGATCACCAAGAAGCAGTTCATCATCGAGAAGGTGCGCGACATTGTGCCGATGATGAAGGAGGCCTTTCAGACGGCGCAGAGCGGCACCCCTGGCCCGGTCTACGTTGAGCTGCCCATCGACATTCTCTACCCGTACGCGATCATCAGCAAGGAGTTCATCTCTTCGACGGGCGGCAAGAGCCTGCAGGGAAAACTGGTTGACTGGTACCTGAACAACTACCTGCAGAACCTTTTTGCAGGCGCCTTCGACGATGAACACCCCGACCTGTCGCCGCTGCCCGTGGACATTCCCTATCCCTCAGAGGCGGACATTGGCAAGGCGATTGAGCTGCTGACGCAGGCGAAGAAGCCGCTGGTCATTCTGGGCTCGCAGTCAGTGCTGCCTCCAGTGGGGGCTAATGCGCTCCGAAAGGCTGTTGAGGTGAATGTGTTTAGGGTCTAATTTTGAAAATGTTACTCTTTTATATATACATTATTAATGTTTTCAATTGTATCGAAATTCACTCACAGGACCTGGGCATTCCAGTCTATCTCGGCGGCATGTCCCGCGGCTTGCTCGGTCGCAATTCGCCCATCAACATGCGCCAGGCTCGTCGTGAGGCGCTGCGCGACGCCGATCTGGTCATTCTAGGCGGCTCAGTAGCCGACTTCCGTCTCTCCTACGGGCGCGTCTTCTCGAAGAAGTCCAAAATCATCGCCATCAACCGCAGTCGCGAGCAGCTGTACAAGAACGCCGGCGTCTTCTGGCAGCCTTCAGTGGCCGTGCAAGGCGACCCGGCCAAGTTCTTCGTAGAGGTGGCCAACAAACTGAAGGGCACCTTCAAGGTGGACGCCGACTGGGTGAAGACGCTGCGCGATCGAGACACCGAGAAGGAGAGCAAGGCAACGCAGATGGCCAACCAGCCCACCGACCGGCACCTGAATCCCCTAAAGGCAAGTGTGTAAAACCAATGCAAAAGCAAACCAAGCAATAACCAAGCTTATCGCGTGCTAATACGCCAAACTAATAACACCCCTAATTTGCTACAAACTAAACTGTTCATTCGATTAGGTTCTGCAAACACTGGAGAACACGATGGACGATAATACGATTCTGGTGGCGGACGGTGGCGACTTTGTCGGCTCTGCCGCCTACATTCTCCGCCCACGAGGGCCGCTCTCCTGGCTCGACCCGGGCGCATTCGGCACGCTGGGCGTGGGCGCCGGCTTTGCGCTGGGCGCCAAGCTGTGCCGTCCTGACGCCGACGTGATCGTCGTCTTTGGCGACGGCTCGCTGGGCTACTCGCTGGCAGAGTTTGACACCATGGTCCGCCACAAGCTGCCCGTCATGGCGGTGGTCGGCAATGACGCCTGCTGGACGCAGATTGCCCGAGAGCAGCTGCCCATGCTCGGCTCCGATGTCTCCTGTCGCCTCGCCTTCACCAACTACGACAAGGCCGCTGAGGGACTGGGCGCAGCGGGCATCAAGTTGACGGCCACGGAGAATGACACACTGAAGGAGAAGTTTGAAGAGGCAAAAAGTCGCGTTCGCGGCGGACAGCCCGTTCTGATCAATGTGCTCATTGGCAAATCCAAGTTCCGTGAGGGCTCAATTTCGGTGTAATAAGTTTCAGCAAAAGCATAATTTTTTCATTTCAACAACCTAAAAGTAATTGTATCTAAACACTAAAATGTTTACAAGTTTGAGCTAAAAACAACAACACATTACATTGCGGAATGTTATTCAGTTTAAATAACGCTTTTGAAATTTTCATATTTTTGTAACATGCAAAAAATATTTTTTATTTTAAATTTTTTATACATTTAATAAAATGCCTTAAAACTAAATTTTACAAAATAGCTTTTTAGCAGTCTGGTCAGTAGCAATAGCCGCACTGTTGTTGTGCTCTTTTGGCAGCCTGCAGCATCACAGCCAGTCTGTCATGTACACTGTCTGGCTAGCTTCAGCTATATCTTCTTTCAAGTCAGACCACTTTTCCTGAGCTCTTTTCCCTTATCACCATATCCAGTCCAATCAGACTCAATTAAGCTGCTCAAACGCTCTTTTGATTGTTGCCAGACCCCCTGACAACAACCACACATTTATCACCGTCCTTCTTGTCACTTTTTCCTCCGCATCATCATCATCATGGGCTCCATCGGTATTCTCAGCTCCTCGTCCCTTCTTCGTCAGCAGTGGCGGCTGGTGCCAGCTGCCCTGTCACGGACAGGGCGATCCTCACTGCCGCGAATGCTGTCCAGCAGCAGCAGCAGCAGTGCCGACCAGTACCAGCGCTTTCTCATTGACCAGGCCTACATCGGCGGACAGTGGCGACCGGCCGTGTCCGGGTCCCGTTTTGACGTGCTCAACCCTGCCACCAGTGAGGTGATTGGCCAGGCGGCGGAGTGCTCCATTGAGGATGCACAGGCGGCGGTGGCCGCCGCAAAGGACGCCTTTCCCAGTTGGAGCACAACCACGGCGAAGGAGCGCGCCCAGCTGCTGCAACGACTGTACAAACTGCAGCTGGACAATGCCGAGTCTTTGGCACGGCTGATCACCGCGGAGATGGGCAAACCGCTGAGAGAGGCACGCGGAGAGATTGGTTACGGCGCCAGCTTTCTGGAGTGGTTTGCCGAGGAGGCCCGACGAATCAATGGCTCCATTTTGCAGAGTCCGTGGAAGGACAAACAGCTGAGTTACCGCAAGGAGGCCTGTGGGGTGGCGGGAATCATAACTCCGGTAAGGATTTACAATTGGATCGAGGTTTAATAGTTTTCAAACAACAACAAACACTTTTTCCCCCTTTTGCAGTGGAACTTTCCCAACGCAATGATCACCCGAAAGTTGGGCGCCGCCCTGGCTGCCGGCTGCACCGTGGTCATTAACCCAGCCGAGGACACGCCATACTCGGCTCTGGCTCTGGCCGCCCTCGCCGAAGAGGCCCATTTTCCGCCTGGCGTCATCAACGTGGTGCCCACCTCCCGACAGAAGACGCCGGAAATTGGCAACTTTATCTGCGACACGCCGGATATATCGGTGATCACCTTCACCGGGTCGACCGAGGTGGGCAAGTTGCTGTTAAAGCGTGGCGCCAACACCGTAAAGCGAATCGTCATGGAGCTCGGAGGTGATGCGCCTTTCATCGTCTTTGACTCGGCCGACGTTCAGAGGGCAGTCGAGGGCAGCATTGTCGCAAAGTTTAGAAATGCTGGTCAGGTAAGAAAGGTTTTTGTTTTTTATCTACCTTTTTGTTTGCTTACCACATTTTTCTTTTCATTCGCTCTAGACTTGCGTCTGTGCAAATCGAATATTCGTGCAAGAGGGCATTCATGATCAGTTTGTGGCCGCACTTGCCGCTAAAATGTCTTCCGAACTAGTTATTGGCAATGGAATGGATGAAAAGACTACCGTTGGACCGCTCATTAACGATCGTGCCGTGGAGAAGGTGAAGTCACACGTTGAAGATGCTCTCTCTAAGGGGGCAAAGTTAGTTCAAGGAGGAAAAAAGCTGACTGCCAAAAACAATTGCTACTTCTACGAGCCAACACTGATTACTGGAGCCACTAAGGAGATGATCATCGCAAAGGAGGAGACATTTGGTCCTGTTGCAGCTATTTTCAAGTATGTTACCATTTGTTTTTTATTGCACAAAAACCTATTAACTTGTTTTCGACAGATTTAAAACTGAAGAAGAAGTACTGCGTCATGCAAACAATTGTCGTCGAGGGTTGGCTGGTTACTTTTACTCTCGCGATTACGCTCAAATTGAACGAGTGGCTCGTAAGCTGGAAGTGGGCATGATTGGCATTAACGACGGTCTTCTGTCAACTTGTGAAGCTCCATTTGGCGGTGTCAAGGAATCCGGTCTTGGCCGTGAAGGCTCACACTTTGGAGTTGACGAGTTTTTGCACGTCAAATACGTTTGTCTTGGTGGTCTTCAATTTTAAACTATTATCATTTTCATATTATTCCAGCATAAACTTATATCAAACGCACATTCTCAGTTAACGCAGCAAAATCAGTAACCTATCAGGACGTTTACTGTTCCAAAATAAAAATTGCCAAAGCAAGTGCTAAATTAAAATTTTAAAACAAGTTTTGTTATTGTTTTTGTTTGACTAATTAACTGTATAGTTTAAATTTTTGTAAACTAACTTCATTTTGATTTACTGCTTACAATAAATCCAACAACCGACTTCAAACTTTACACTAACACACCACTACATCAGGCTAGCTGAGAGACACACTGCTTTCTCCAGTGGACGACTGTTGGCCGTCCACTGATACATATACATGTTTCTTTTCTCTTTCCTCCTCACTCTGTTTGAGTGCCTTCTCTGATTCACATCTACTGGAGTCTGTCGTTCTTTTTTAAATCCCCTTTTCCAATAAACGAATTCTCCTACTTGCTCTGCTGCAAGCACAAAAGGTGCCTTTATTTCACGCTCACCCAAACCTCACTTAGTAGCGGCCCAATCTCCGGTGTCCCGGTTTTTTACCCGCTACAAGTGGCGCAAACTACGGTCTCCTCGCTGATCAGCGACGAGAATCGAGCAAGCACACTTCCACACTTTGGCTCGCAAGAGACGTTTTAGCGGCCCCCTCCTGTCCAGTGATTGAATCAGAGTGAGTGCATCTTTCTTTTTTTGAGAATCGTATTCCTCCTGGTTTCGATTTTCACCTGCTGTTCCAGCCAGAAGTTCTGCCCAGCAGTTATTTGTTCTTAGCAGATTAGTTAGAACAATAACTGCAGTCCTCTATTATGCCTGAAGACGATGTGGCCGATGACCAGGGTGATTTTGTTGTTGACACGACGCCCCCCGGTGATCACTTGTTCTTTTCGACGTTGAGAGCAATTGCCAACGATCCACTCTATCAATTCGGGAAACGTGAGAATGACGAAGTTCGTGCTCACAAGCGTCAAATGACAAAGTTGGCGCGCCGCCACAATTTTTTGGCTACTCAAGCAATCATTGCTTTTTTTAATCCTTGCACGGCGCTGCCGCGACATGGATGAAGACTGCTCACCCCGATTTGACAGGCTATGAGGACATTGATCTTGAAGATGAAACTAATGACAATGAGGAGATGGCGTGCGGTGCACGCACTTTTCTCTTCAAGAACTGGCGCACGCTGCTGTCGTTTTTTGTTGACTATTTTGGCAGCAGTAATGGGCGTCAGGAGGCCGATAAGGTTTTCCATTTGCCAGGACTTTCCCAAAAAAACCGACGTGGCGTTTGTCACGCGGGCTCATGCCACCTTTATGGCGGCTCTCGGTCATCCGAAGACCACTGACCAGGCTATGGTCGTGGCTTGTATTCAACAGCTTTTGCGCAGTCCATACCACAAGTTCGATCGTTTCACCTGTGCTGACTGGAATGATTTTCTGGTCGAAATGCGCCGGGTGCAGAAGAAAGAAGACCGCTTGACAGATCGATTGCGACAAAAGCGATATCAACAACGTTGGGTGCCTCGGAGCGGCAACCAGGGAAAAGGGGAATAAGAGTACGAGGCGGAAGAGGGAGAAAAAAAGCTCTTTTTTCTGCTATTTTTCCGCTTATTTGCGGCCTCTTAGCCAGCGGACAGCGCTTTTCCCCCTTTGTAGCACATCATCGTGCCAGCACATGAAAAGGATGCCAGGGCCAAAATAAGTAGCCAAAAGGTCCAGGAAGAGGCAAAGTTCTTGGCCTCGTCTACCATGTCCATGTTGGGCACTGGCGTCTTGGCGGCTTTGATTAGCCCGACATTTTTCTTGACCAAGCTACCGGCTAGGTCAATTATCTCATGGTGGTGGAGGTCAGGGCTCAAATGCTCGTTGACAATTTCGGTCATGTCGGCGTCCAGTTGGAGTGTCCGACTGACTGACCGGTTGGTGAACGTCCAGTGGACGCTACCTGCGCTCCAGGACTGGTCGATCCGGAGGCGGAATGTTTTGTGGACGCAAGGTAGTGTAATGCCCATGTACGTTAGGTTGAAGTCAGTGCAATAAACGAAGATGTTATGCGCCGTGGCGAGTGTCTGTACTACTGTGGTGGCGTCGACTGTGTGGAGAGGGCTACAATGGTCAAGATGCCATTGTTTCGCTCTGGGTGTTGTGAGGTTAGCTGCGCAGTCCACGCCTTCATGAGATCCGATAAGCGGTTCGTCATTTTTCATTGGCTTCCAATTGAGCTCGGCGGCGCATCTATTCGATTCATCGAAGAGCGCGTACCGAGGGCCATTGTATTTTACAAAGCACCAGCTTGGTACCCCGTGAGCATCATTATGGCGGAAGGCCAAAGAGAATGGTCGTGCCTGCAGCACCTTGATTGTCGGCTGTGCATGCTGCACGCGGAAGGTCAAAATCAAGGTCCTCATTTTCATATTGAGATCACAGCCGAGCGGCTGCCACATCTCCAAAGGACAGTTTTCGCACACAACCAGATCTTTGAAAACTGAGAAGAACTGGTCAGACACTCTGCCTCCAAGCCTGAAAGTACGTAGTACTGCTGCGGTGCGCCGCCCTACGTCTCCCATACTAGTGGTCATTTCTCGTTTCGCTTGTTTCTCTTTTAGCTTTCTGAGAATTTTGTGCATGTTTGCCTGCATCTTCTTTACCTGTTCGCCGTACAGCTGAACCGCCTCGTTTAGGTTCTGAACGGCGTCAAGGGCCTTCTCTAAGCTGCCGTGGGTCATTGTTTCGAACCCTAGCACCTGTTGCCTGAGAGAGGTGTAATCGCTCTTGGAGACGAACTCAATGAGGGTTTTGACCCCCAAACAGCAAACGCCTACCAGGATGCAAGCCGGGAGAAAAATGCCCCTCTTCTTGCGACGCACTATCACTAGGCCTTGACTTGGCATGCCCAAGCGCGTCGTGCACACCTTGCCGATTTGCCTAACACCTGCTCATTGTAAGTCGAGCTGCAAAACTCTTGTCCGTTCTTCCAGGTGGAATTACTGAAAAGAGTGCAACCGTCCTGCAAAGCAAGCGCTACAGTGTACTCGGTTGCGCCGATAACGACTTGGTGATCAGTCGTCACCCAGACTACTGGATCGGTCGTCTGAAAAACGGTAGCGGTGGCGTAGAAAAGCGAGGTGATGGTAGCAAATAACATATCTAATGAGTTAAAGGGGCAAACAGCGTGTTAGGTCGGCTGATGGAAAGCCGAATGCTTGAGAGAGAGAGAGTGGAAGAACGAAAAGGGAGAGAGACGAGGAGAAGAGAGCTAGTCAACTGAGTTGGTGCTTTGTGAAGTACAATGGCCCTCGGTACGCGCTCTTTGACTAATCAAATAGATGCTCCGTCGAGCTCAATTGGGAACCAGTAAGAGATGATGAATCTCTTATCGGTTCTCATGAAGGTGTAGACTGCGCAGCGAACCTCACGACACTCAGCGCAAAATAATGGCATCTCGACCATTGTAGCCCTCTCCATTCGGTTGACACTTCGACAGTCGTTCAGACACTTGCCACGGTGCACAACATTTTTGTTTACTGCACCGACTTCAACCTTACCTACATGGGCATCACAGTGCCCTGTGCTCACAAGACGTCACAAAGGTCGCCAGACAGCGTCGGGGTGTCGTGTTGACTCTGTGTTCACCTGCAGCCGGGTATTAGTGGTAAATTTTGTCTACGTTGATCAAAGTCTTCTTTCGGTTGTTTAAACAAAGAAGAACTGGGCTGACAACTTCAATCACTTTAAAAAGGCCAAGAAAGCGAAAAGCAAGCTTTTGCTTGTGATCAGTGGCAATCGAATAATCTACCACTTTGACCAGATCGCCTTTCTTAAAGTCAGGTAGTCGGCGATTTGCGTCATAACGGCACTTGTTTACCAAAAACTTGTGCCCCTTATACTTCTCAACTTCCTCTTTGATCAAGCGCAAATCGGAAAAGATGGCATCGTTATGCAATGACTGCATGTTCACTTGCATTGGCGTCACCGGATCGTAACCGAACATCGCCTTGCAGGGCGAAATGTTTGTCGTTGCGTGCGGCAGAGCATTGTATGCAAAACAAATTGGCTTCACCAGTTTAGCCCAGTTAGATTGATTTTTATTAGTGTAGTGAGCCAACATGTTTGCCAAAATGCCATTTAGTCGTTCGCATAAGCCGTTTGTGTGTGGAGTGTATGGAATAGTGTTTATACCTTTGATGCATAACATTGTATTTAGTTCGGTAACGACTGCACTGACAAACGATTTTGCGTTGTCGGTCAGAATGGCCGTTGGAGCGCGCATGTAAACGAGAATAACATCCTCAAACAAAAATTTAGTTACCAAGCGCGCCTTCTTTGAGGCGACCGCTTTAGCAATGGCAAAGTTTGAGTGCAAATCGGTAGCCGTCAAGATATACTTTCAGCACTAAGAGGTAAGCAGCGGGCCACAGTTGTTGAGCGCAAGCACTTCCCACGGGCCTTTGATTTCAATGTGCTGCATATTATTATATCCCCTTTTTCAATAAACGACTTCTCCTACTTGTTCTGCTGCAAACACAAAAGATGCCTTTATTTCACGCTCACCCAAACCTTACCTCGTGGCGGCCCAATCTCCGGTGCCCTGGTTTTCCACCCGCTACACTATTTCTGACTAAGCAAGCACTAATTGAATTAGCGAGATTATTAACAAAATAACCTGCAATGGCATCGCGTAACTGATCCTCAGGCACTGTTTGTTTATAGATCAAAAAATGGCTCGAGCGAGCACAGTGTCGAGCGAATGACGCGCTAAATGACTTTGTCAACACACTTCAGCCCGATGCACGCTGCTGATTTCAACGGAACAGTACGATGAAGCTAAAATGGATTTTGCTTAATGTGCCTTGTAGGACACCAATTTTCGCTTTTACATCCCTTTCATATTATTCCAGCATAAACTTATATCAATCGCAAACTCTCAGTTAACGCAGAAAAATCAGTAACCATCAGAACGTTTACTGTTCCAAAATAAAAATTGCCAAAGCTAGTGCT